AATGCATATTTTCAGAGAGTTTTAAGAACGTGTGTTAGAGATGGTTTGGAATACGGGATATACAGGAATATTTACGAACTACGTAGATCATGGACTGCACCAGGGACCTTTAAAGAATAGTGTATGAACAGAAACGATATACACTGAAATCGGAGGATGTAAAGACGAGCACATTCTAAGGGACACCAATACACCTGTTTCGAAAGAAACGATGATACTATAAACGGTGGCTTCGCAAGATACCTGATACGAAATGTTGCGATCAACTTGATACCACTTAGCGTGTCGGCGGCGTCGAGAGCTCGCCAAGTGATCGCAGTCAATGCGGGGAGCAGGAAATCTCGTTCTCAAATCATGGAGACTGCGCGGCGTGGGGCGGGCCTGAAACGGCGGCGGGGGCGGTGCAGGGAGGGGGCGTGAAAGGGGGCAGGCGGAGGAGGAGGGCGTGAAGAAACAGGCGGGGGAGGAGCAGGAGGGGAAGGCGGAGGTGAGAGCCGGGGTGCATGGGCTAGGCAGTAGCCAAGGCAGGGGCAAGTGCAGCGGCTGGGGCTGGGGCAGGGGCAGGGGGAGCGAGGCCGAGTGAGGCGAGGCGAGGCGTACTGGCCGGGTGCTAAGGCGCTTACAGAGAGAGGTCGACGCCACCGTCAGGGCCGGCGAGGCGAGGCGAGGCGCGGCGCGGCGCGGCGAGGCGGCAGGCGACGCGCGTCGCGGCGCGAGCAACGACGGTGGAAAGGCGAAGCGCAGCGCGGTGCGGGGGCACGGGCGCTCCCTAACGCCCAGAATACGCAGGGTCGTAGTACTCTCCAACAGGCCTCGTCGCCTTTTCGCTCCCCGGAGCGCGCGTCGGGCGCTCGGGAGGCGGCCGCGGCAGAGCGAAATTTGCAAATGCAACGGAGTTACGAGAAACGAGAGCTATGAGACACAGTTGCTGAACCAGAAACGTGCTGCGATCTCACCGACATTCTGTTTTATCTCTATTTACGTACGCCTCACAAATATAATATTTCAACTCAATCACAAACGCCTTCCGAAATATGTGTTTTGTATTTTGTTTTGTTCGATATTTGCTTGTATTAGTATCTCTACGTAGTTTCTAGATGTTTCGTCAATGTATTCCACGTAATAAAGTAAAGAATAATACCGCTGAATTGGAAACAAAAATAGTGTTTTTTAAATCACTCGACCAATATATTGAATTCCATAATTGTTGAAATTATTTGAAATTACTATATTACACCGAACGTTTTTTGTATCTAATAATTACTTACCACACGCATTTTAAAAATTAGTTATCAGATAATAAAGCGATACATAAAATGCGATAATCCCAAACTAATTTTCGCTTTTGGATAGCTATATTATTAAGTTGAAAATCAACAGACTGATAACTACAAATGACGTGCGTATACTATCGTCACTTTTTTTATATAGCAATTATTACGTTAGTTAGATTTTGGATGACACACAAATATATTGGATATTTAATTAGCTGAACCCAAGCGACTACATCGTCAAAAAGGAAGAATCGTACAAAAGTTACAGCAGAAAAGTTTAACTATTATATGCACCATTCGGAAAATCGAAAACTTCAAAAATAATGTTTCATGCTGTTCAGTACTTATTCTCCCAGACTAATGAAATGAGAGATGTTCAAATTCTGGAACGAAATAATCACTATTTACTCTATAAACAAAGTTGTACAAACAAAAACAAAAATGCTTTATATTTACCAACATATCAATATGTATGTACCACATGGATGCTATAGTTTACTGCCTGTAGCAGTAAATCCAACAATACACCGTAACGTGAGGGAATCACACAGTTGATTTTTTTGAAGGGACGTATATGTCAGACTATTTCTCAATATAGTTTCTATACACTACATGCGAACAGGCGAAAATCACTTTGATCTTCAAACTTAGAACCCGCGCTGTCTTTGCATCATGATCTATAACATTCCGCCCGAGACACGACGGCTGCTGCCGATACATTGATTGCAATTAGCGCCTCAAAACGAAGCAAGGCCAACTATTGTAGGTAGTCTCGAAAATTATATACTTGACAAATGACGGCAGACGAGCGTTCATTCTATTTATTTGAAGATAATATTAAAATGTAGAGTTATGTTATGAAACCGGTTTCAAAATCCTAGTGATGAAATATATGACTAACTACCTTTCTTATAAAAAAAATCACACACTTCAAAATATCTCATTTAGTAGAGTACGGAACTAAAAATTTGCTCTAAACGAAAATTATTAGGTTTTAAATATGTATGTACATTCTGAATTTCGTGTAAATTAAGCACAGAAAATAGATTTGGTTAATCTTGGTTAATCTTAAGATAATATTAAAATCTTGGAGCGCTCGTAATGGTATATCAAAAATGTGAAAATGACGATTTTTTTAAAAAAATCCCAGAAATTCCCAAAAAATTCCAGAAATAATCGAAATTGCGACATTTTGCTACAAATGCATTGATATTAACGAAATCGTTACTCCGAGCACACATATTTTTACCCATTTCATATCTAATCATTTTTTCCAAGAAAATAACAAGGAAAAGTGAACTTATGCATACAGAATTATCCAAAGTTAAAGGCATAATTTAGTAAGTTCATTACTGTGACATTTTCCTTTGGGGAGATGCCGGATTATAAAGAACATCAGATAAGCGAAGTTCGTGTAAAGGACACTACATTTATTAAATTTTCAAGTCTACAGGCTCACTGTTTGTCTTTTAGCGGATCAAAGACAGAAGCAATCCGAAACCTAATCTGTTTGCAACCTCCGTCACAACAAGAAACCGAAGGAACTACTAAGAACAATGCGGCTCCATTGCTGCAAAAGAAATATGTTCTTGCCCTGCTAGGAGTGGAAAACAGCTCATAAACCGAGTTCCTCCTTTGTTTACTGCGAACTGACGACCAACAGGCCGTTTTTCTTCTTTCGCCCTCTTATTGTCAACACAAGGCCGCGTGAGCGTGAGTTACGCCACGGCTGTGCGTTGTGCGCGACTTGCGACGCGGGCGGAGATCGAAAACAGATCCCGTCTCTGCTCGACGCACGCCACATGCGCAGGCACAAGCACAAGCACCAGCACAAGCACCAGCACAAGCACCAGCACAAGCACAAGCACCAGCACAAGCACCAGCACCAGCACAAGCACAAGCATCAGCGCAAGCACAAGCACCAGCGCAAGCACAAGCACCAGCGCAAGCACAAGCACCAGCACAAGCACAAGCACCAGCACCATCACAAGCACCCGCACAAGCACCAGCCCAAGCACCAGCACAAGCACGAAGACGAGCACCAGCACAAGCACCAGCACAAGCACGTCCTGCCCGGGTTGCGACGAGGTGCGCGACGCCCAGGCGCGGTGCGCGACGGCAACCATGTTGCGAATTATTTTTATTTTCTCGCTACGGTTTACGCAGATGGGAGAACGCTACGTTGTTCTATAGCGGCTAAACCGTTCAATCGATTATCTATAAAATTGATATTTGCTAATCGATCTCACTGATATCGCGACCACTTGAATTTGAAACAGAGATTTTAGTTTACATTAAGCCCCATTTTTGATTACATTTTTTGGCTGGATAGTGTGAAAGACGTTTAACAGAATGGTTCAGGCCTCATGTTCGTTAAAAACCTTGATACTCCGAAAATTGCGAAAGTTAAAAATGTATCTCCGCTTACAGCTACATAAATGATCCTATGAAAATACTTTTCTTCCCTTTCGAAATCTGTTCCTTAAAAATAGATTTTGAAATATTTTTCGAAAATTTCAGTACTATTCGCGTGATTTTGCGAGAAAGTACGCATGAGACAGTACGTGCAGTTTTAGCACTACCAGTTTTTGAGATGTGCACACGGCACGTGCCACTGAATATTTTAATGGGATCATTTATTGAATGTTTTATGGTATATGAATATTTTTATGGTGACATAAATAACGTACAGTATACTTACTTGTGATAGGTTGCTCGAATTCTAGCACGGCATGTGCATGACAGCCACCATGCTCATAATTTTTGTAACTGTTGTGTACAATACAAAAATTTCACCCGCGATGGCGGCAAGAATATGTTTAATAAAGAAGATTCATGAGTAACGCAGTATATTGACATTTTTATCAGATTTTTGAGGGACGGTGTGTTTCCGGGTGCGTCAATTGATATAGTCGTTATTCCCTTAAGTGAAGTACATGTTTTACACGGAGAGGTTGTCTTCCTCCCTCGCTAGACGGCAAGTCGCAGCACCAACCTACACGTCGGCTTGCCGGGGAATTCCCTTCTAGGTATCTTCTTCCAGCGGGCACCGCCCCCACTAAGCTCCCGACTGGACCTCCGACACGTGGGGCAGTGGTGCTTGTAAGGCGGGAGGAGTGGAGAGGACAAAGAAGAGGAAGGAAATACTGCACGCAGTCGTTTCTTTGCATCGGGCATTCGTCTGATACTGCTGAGAAAACCACAAAAAACTATGGATCAGAACAGCCTACCGCTAGAGTTCTCCAACGCGACTGAATTCGACCTATCTATGTAGCTAGTGACGAAAATTCGCCACCGTCGGGAGTCAAACCTCAGAACCACCCAACCAGAGTCGCTGCAGAGACAGCGCTGGTCTCCCATCAGCGCATAATGATTTTGAAAATTAGCATAGTTTTGTGACGTTGCGGCAAGAATACGTTTGATAAAAGAAATACATGTATATCGCAGAATACTGACATTTTTATCGGATTGTTAAGGGATGATATACAAATTCGTAATTGCATTCTATAATTTTTCAGAAAACGATTTTTTTCTTTCGTACTTTATACTGAAAAACGTCATGCTGATTAGAAGGTATCTATTATCTTCAAGTGTTCGATAGAAGTTATTTCTTGCACTGAGTTAAGAAAATACCAAGTAATGAATAAATTTCAGGATAAAATGTCAAAGGATTTTGCCGTACGGTAAAATTCGATTAAAATGATAGGGCAGAATTTCCAACTACATTCATGTAAAAGGGAGAACACACCGCTAAAAAACACATCAATTTTTTTATAAATATTTAATTTATTAAATTCCCCTTTTCAAGATCATGCCCATCTATATTAACAATATAATTCACATCGTTAACGATTAATGTAATTTACAATAACAAAATTAACATAAGTTAATAGTTCTCCTCGAACAAGACTAACATTAGCTCTTCCCTCCATTTGCGATATATGAGTGAAAAGATTGGTTCACAAAATAGAGGAGATATGTACTTAAAAAATGCAATTATCTTATAAATATTCTCTTTTTCGTTTACATTTTTTTAACAAATAATGCCACTTTTCTCCTGTGCTATTCAATTATAACCATTCTTTTGAGCTGGAAAATAATCTAAAAAAGCATCACGCAATATGCTGAAGTTGCATTAAACGAATCTGTATATTCATTTTTCTTGTTAGTTTTGTCAACTGCGCGCGTTTTATTGCGCTTCTTTTTATTTTAGTCGCTAAACGGAGATATTATGGTAAAGGAAATAATCGTCCACAAAAGATTTAATAATTTTAATTAATTTTTACCTAGAGCTAACTTTCGGGAAACGCTTTTTCCATCCTCAGTGGGTCTCTAGCAAGGAGGAGAAAATTGAAACATTAACACAAGTTGAACAAAAGAAATACAGTAAATTTAGTGGAAAAAACAAAAAAATAATATCAAATAAATAAAATTGAAAATACTTACTGCCCAAGCAACGTAGATCACTCATAAATGTTCATAACATGGTAAAAAAATATGAAAACTGCAAAACATACTGGGTACAGCTAGGTGGCAGGCATCTTTTGGAATGGAAGAAGGGGAAGCCTACCAATTGTGCGACAGAGGGGGCAGAAGAGTAGAAAGGGTAGTCATAAACAGATTTAAAATTGACTGTTTTTCATACAGGAATGCAAAACAGGACAGAAAATTAGGAATTTGTAAGATTCTAGAATTCTAGATTCTAGAACAAGTTGACTAGATAAAGATATTGCAAAAAGGGGACAAAATAGGTGAAAAGAATGATTAGGGATTAGTTAATAAAATATTTAAAATGGGACAGCTTTTAATTAAGGAATGTTCATTCAAGATAGAAAAATTAGTATTTTTGAAAAGTTTTAGAATTTCCAAGTTCTCCAAAATGTTCATTTTTGTGCCTTTGTTGACTAAGTGAAGGATTTTAAAATTATAATAACGGTCTATGGAATGGTTAAATTGAATCAAACGATTGGCAAAGGTGGAAGTGTCTAAATTGTTTCCAACATCTAATATGCTCATTAATTCTAACTGAAAATTTTCTGCCTGTTTGGCCTACATATGCTGAATTACAGTTATTACAAGTTATGTGATAAATGCCACTTCTTTCAATGGGGGGATAGGTGATTTGGAACTAGGAAATAAATATTGGAGGGAGTTTAAGGTTTTGTAGGCTATTGAAATATTGAATTTAGTGAAACATTGTCCTATGCATTTAGATACTGTACCTATGTAGGCAAATAAATTTCTTTGGTTCTACAGGGCAATGTTGAGGAAAAACGTATTTAAAATAAATTTTACACCTTTTTGGTGGATAATTGACTGAAGTTTATTGACTGTCAGAAGATCATAACCATTATTTAATGCAAAGGTTAGAATGGTATTGACTTCATTATTAAAATCTATATCGGTCATAGGAACCTGGAATAGTCTGTTGATCCAGGACTGGAAAACAGCAAATTTATGATGGTGAATGTGATTAAAATGAGAAGGTATGATTGTATCTGTATGAGCAGGTTTTCTGAATATTTTAAAATTGTGTTTTGAGTTTATAATAGTGATGGGAATTCAGGGAATGATTCTCTTCAATTTCCATCGAGAATTTTAATTTGGAGTGAAAAGAATTAAGAAAATCTAGACAGCTAGAGAGAGACACTACGGTGCATGTGTGTGTCATGTACGTAACTCAGCGTTCAGAAAAATAATATTCATACTTTCTATTCTAAATTCTACAATAACAATGCAACGTAGCAGATGTTAGTCATGTAATAAAATAAATCACATCAAATGTTCAAAAATTTCTTAAAAGAGGACATTTAAAATGCAAATGAGGACGAGAGGACAATGAGGACTGTCCTCCCAAATGGAGGACTTTGACAACCCTATATAATAGGGGAAAATCGATACAATTTGATTCCTGAGTCTCAATTTTTCTTTTGAATAAAAATGTTTCTGATACCATTGGTTCGAGCGACGAACGTTTCAGAAAAGGCATTTGCTTTCCCAATCGATTTACTGGCTGACTCACAAACCTACTTCCTTAGGAATTAATTTTATCTTCTCACGACGCAAAGATGCTCTTATACTGGGAGGGCATCAGCAACTCTTAGTACTGATCTCGTCTCATCGTAAAGGAAGTAAAAAAGGCGATCGTATTTCGTAAGTTAAAGACAAAACATACATCAAAATCAGTGCTTGCAGTGACGGCTCAAGTCACTTGTGGCATATTTGCGCTACAGCCTCAATATTTTGCTCTTTAAATGTGTTCGATGCATATATTTAATTTGTATAATTCCACTCACTTTTTTTTTCATTCACTGCAAATACGTATACGAGATGATAATCCTCGCGTGTACTTCGCGCCCGACGGTTTCCTCGGCGTTGCTACTTGGAAGTCACAATGTTATACCACAGGCGATGACAAAACATCCCTTGTAGTGGAGCGTTGTAGAGGTTAGTAAACATACCTGGGGAGGGGATCAGGTCAGTCAGATTAACGAATAAGCCTATGACCTCCACGTCGCTTCCGAACACGCGGAGCGACCCGTGCTACGATAACAAGACCTCAGAGGTCAGAAGTAAGAGACAAAGGTGAGAAATCTTGATGAGAAAGCTGTGAAGTGAGTGCAAAAAAGGCGTAGGTGTAAACTTTTATAGTCAATTTATAATTAAAAAGGAAAACGTCCAAATTTCAACAATTATACAACCATTGTACTAACAAAATTCAAGAAACACCGACTAAATTATCTGACGAGGAAAGCACCATCCACCGCATTACATCGTTGGGGTGTCCTCAAATACGCAGCCAGGGTTCCTAGCCGGAGACAATTGCGTAATGCTGCCATATTAATTTGTGAACAACTCCTGCCTAATTTTCCAAACCACCTACCTCACTGACTTATGGCTACGTTTAACATGTATAGCAAGCAGACTTCAAGTCCCAGGATAAAAACTTAAATTAAAAAAAATCGTTTCCGTTCCTTTCTAGGCAATCGAAAAACATCCCCAATTCACTTCATGTAAATGCACTTCAGAATAAATCTGGGCCTCATCGAGTTGGGCGAGAAGCTCGAGTCAGCCCTGCTGGGGGAGAGGAGTGCGTACCATCGCCGCTGCATCGGGTGGGCGAGGCGCTCGGTCGCCACTCAGCGCCTGTTACGTCACGAAGTTTCATTAAATTGCCTGGGTAACAACAGTGGTGGAGACGCCCAACTCCCAACTTCGCAGCCCGAGGCGAGGCGACGCGACGAGTCCCTGCTGAAGGCGGTCGGGGAGGCGACGTCGGCGAGATAGCGGCGCGACGCGGCGCCAACTTAGGCGGAGAGTACATTAGCTGTGCGGTCGCTTCTTCATCGTATTCCCTTTACGCTACAACTACAGTAATGCACATTCGAACGAGACGAAAGGGTTTCGTTGCAAAAATTTACAAACGTATATTTAATTTAAATGTTAGTATTTCCCCAAAATTAGTAATGACCCGTAACTAAGATGAGTTTTGTTTAATTTTACCATTAGCAAATTGTAGAGAATAACACGGAAATATCAAGACAAGTTTTACAACATAATAGCTTAATTTTCCACAGAAGCTATTTCGATCGAATTGTAGCCATCTGCATTGCGTTAGGAACGCTAAACTATTCAGTATTAACTGATGAAAAAAATATTAAAAACGTTATGGAAAAGTAAACTATTATGGTGATATTACTCCGGCTATTTTCATTTAACGAAGATAACATCAAAAAACAAGACACACCACTTCCTACTATGGAAATTGATATACGATTCTGCAATATCAGTTATTAATCTGTTAAAGAAGGCAACGCTTTCTTAAAGGAAGAGCAATTTCAAATATAATTTATAAATGAAAATTAGTGTCTATTAGTTTCTTCCCGTCCAGCTTCGACCGAAAGTTAAACGTCTTCCTAATAGTGCAAATACATTTGTTGGATGGCAAAACTACGACAATAATAATTACATCGTACGAACTAAGTTGCGCATTCCAGTGTGAAAAGCATTATCTAAAGTTTTCCCTGACGGCAATTTTGAGATTGTTTTAAAATTTTCCACGGTAGAATTTTCATTGCTATTTTGTGCTGAAATGTGGCACATCAAAGTTAATAACGGTCCGACTTACCTTCTCACATCATGATTCAGAACTACGTCTGTTAATTACAAATGAATAATCCTTTACGAATGAATAATTCATTTCACAAGAATTTCAGATCATACAATAAGTATTTGAGCTGAAAATTACAATACAAATTTGAGCTAGAAAAAGGCGTTGGCCAAATTTGGCGCATAGGTGTGTTAGAAATGTCCAGGCTTTGATTCGACCAGTGGTTCAGTAATAGTGATGAGTCCGCCGAATTATTTGAGGTGAAAGAATGTTGTTTTTTCCTTTACACACCGTCTCACCATCATTGCAATGTTTTATTTCCAGTAGTTACGATATCGTTTTTTTATCGCACTGGATTTTTCCTAAAATAGCTTTGTTGTATTTTAATCTTTTCAGTAAAGAACACTGAGAGCAGAAGCTTGAGATTTGCAAAGTTCCATGAAAATACTTTCGTTTACATCTTATGATTTCGTCTTGCTTATGTTCCGCCCATGATGATAAAGCTAAATACTGTGTTCACATTCGTTCCACAAAAAGTTAGGTATTGAATGAAGTAATAGTTATTTATCCACTAAGCGCGTTATGTTTTCTAATGATCATTCTGAGAGAGTTAACGCCCGTGTCTGGTTTGTCTCCCTTA